GGACTGAAGCTGTAGCTCAAGCAGTACAGTACCTGCCTCTCAAGAATGAAGCCCTGGATTTTTCTGAAATAGCATCTGATTAAGACTCAGTGATAACAAGGAAGCAGACACACAGGACCTGATAAGGGCTCTTCTAGATGAGAGGAACAGTAAAAGCCAAAAGACTGACCCCGTGAATAACCCAGGACATGCAAAGGGCAGAAAGGAGGCAAGTGAGGAGGACAATAGACAGAATCCAAGAGGGAGGCAGAAAGAACCAGTTCTCACTCCAAATTTCATGTTCAAAGAAAATCAATTCAATGTCCACATGACTTTGAAAACAAACAAAAACAAAAATCTCCTCCAGTGAAGATAATCCAGAAAGAGGACGCCTCATTATTCCAAATAATGAAATAGAACTGAATACCCTGAAAGCTTAATTCAGTTCCAGCACACAATATGTGCTCAACTCATGTTCTTTGAATGAACGCTGTGACTTTGATTGAATCAAGTGACTTTGTACACACAGCGAGTAAGGGCTGCTCACAAAACCCTAGACCTATAGGACATGAGGGCTTGATAAAGAGAAGTGGAGAAAAGTAAAGGTCCCATCAGATGTCACAAAACTAGTTATATGCTTAACAGCACTCAATTACACTGGAGGACACAGGCTCAAAATTTAGAACTACAGACACGTGTAGATGAATGCATGGATTCCAATGCATAATAGGTTGCTAAGGGAAACCAGGACAGCTTGATTTCAACATGTGACATTAGGAAGACAAGCTTCCTGGGCCTCATAAGCCCCTGCCAGAGGCAGAACCCAGGATTGACGGAGGGCCTGAGCTTGTCTCATCAGCTAAGCCGGTAATTTCAATCACATCCTGGAAAGGAAAATGAAATATTAAGATGGGAAGTGGGTTGGGTCAGGATCCCATTGCAAGTTCAATCACAGGCAGGAAAGTATCACCTTGTTACTGTTTTATGAATCTGTGGATTTGCCTTGCTTTTGCTTCTAGACATTAGAATGTCATTTTTCACCTCTGACTGCCCTGAATATGCACAGTATCTTTCTTGTACCAAGAGGCAGACATTTTTTGGAATGAATGAATGAGCAGTAACCAAGGTCTCTACTTTCACCAAGCAATGTGTCCCTGAATGAGGTTCCTGTATGTGTGGCAGTGTGGGGATAACAGGAGTCCCCTGAAGATGTGAACAAAAGTGGAGAATCGGTGAACCAACCATGCAAGCAAACAGCAAAGAAAAGTGAAGAAATGTCTCTGAGAAAATTGATCCAATACTTGAAGGGCTGCTGCATGGAAAAAGAATTGCAGATGCTCTATCCAAAGCCCCAGGAGTAAACTCTCAACTGAATTTAAGGAAGAAATTCTTCCTAGCCAAGTGCTCTCCAGACTGTCTTTAGTGAAATGCTAGCATTGGAACAGGGTGGTGGTGGTAGTGAAATGTCTTGGGAAGATGCCATTTTATTCTAAAAGAAGACAAGTTTGGGAATTTGGGTTAATCAAAGGCACATGAATGTCCTCAAACTTCTGTGGATCAAGAGATTTTCACAAGATGCTATGAACATCTATACAGTCTCTGCATTTCAAGCTCATCTGTGGGGTAAAGACGACCTGGAGCTATCTGACAAAAGCATCTTAGGAGAGGTTGAGTGTCCACCAGTATTTAAGAATTCAACACTACATAGATAACACAAATGAAATCTCAATAGAAAGCCAGAGTAATGTTCATTTTTATCATCTGGAATAACCAAGTAGCTGGCAAAAATGTCCTTACACATGAAGATGTAGACAAGTTGTCTCTTCTCGCCACTTGGTGATTAAACAAGTGGGTGATAGGATATTACAAAGGGATCCCAGAAGTAATCAATGCTGTTGAGTGGGAAGCTTAATGACAACCCACTTGACTTTTCTCACATAGTATTTTCTAGAACGTATTGCCTGCCTGCCTTCCTCATCTATCAATTCATCCAATTCTTTGAGGACCTACCATTGCCTGGCAGCTGAATAAAATCAGACAAATGACTGCCTATTAGAGAATTCAAATAATAAACAAATACATTACACAAATAATGATTTAACTAAGGGTTTCCCCCTATGTTACACAGAAATGAGTGGTGCAAAACAGGAACTTACACAGAGACTGTTCAGCCTAGGGTTTTAGGATGGGTTCCCTAAGGAGCACAGAAATAATGTTTTGTAGACCCTTAAATGTGCAGGTTCAAAACAAGTTCTTATGACATTTCTCTCCAGAAACCATAGCCCAGTTGCATTGGAAAAAAACACATAGCCTTGCCCAGCACAGAAACTTTCTCCCTAACACAACTTATGGGTGCTCAATTTGAGACTGTGATTCACTTAGGTGTGGGGTAGATAACCAAGTGCTTTGAATACTGCTGCTCTGCAGACCACATTTAGGTGGTCTTTGTACAACATTTAAAAAGACCTAAATAAATGGAGATTAATTCATACTATGTTCATGGATAGAGAAACTCGATCAAAAACATGTCACTTTTTTCCAGATTAATGTAAAAGCCCAATGGATTACCAACCAAAATTCCAACTGGGTTATTTTATTCTTCATGGTGGTTATTCTTTAACCTAAAAAGCTGATTCTAAAATCCATTAAAAACACTAAGACCATTTTGGAAAAGAACAAAGTGAGGAAGATGCCTTACACAGGTCAAGGTTTACAATAAAATGTATGTTTGGTATTGACAAAGAGATAGACAAAGAGACCAAGAAAACAGAACAGAGCCTAACACAGACCTGTACTTCTAGGAAAATGACATATCAAGGACAGAATTGCAAATCAGTTGAAGAAGGATGAAGGATCAATAACTACTGCTGGGGAAATTGGTTATTTATAGAAAAAATTATACTGGAATTCTACCTTATATCACAAAAAATAAAATTCTAAATTATATTCCTAAATGTGGAAAAACTTTAAAGCCTTTATAAGAAAATACAGGAAAAAATATAACTTTGAGATAGGAAAATACATCTAAAGCAACCGTGCAAAGCAAGAAGAAAATGACAAATATGACTTAAATTAAATTGGAACTTCTGTACACCACAAATAAGAAAAGTCACACACTTGGGTAATATATTTACAGCCCAATAAATAATACCTAGAATGTATCAAGAATTCCTAAGAAATAATTCAAAAATGACACGAACCTGAAGTTCACAGAATTCCAAAAAGAAACCCCAAAAAAGTGCTTAACCCCACAAGTAATTAAAGTAGTCCAAGTTTAAAATAGTGAAATACCACTTCACAGTCATCATCCCAGAACAAAAACTGACCAGACCAAGTGCTGTAAAGAATTAGAGGAGAAATTCTCATACAAATTCAGAATACAAATTACAGAAATGTCTCTGCAACATCTGATAAAACTGACCATGCATGCACCGTCACCCAGCGATTCTACCCTTAGGTATTGCTGTGCTTTGACTGTGTCCCCTACAATTCATGGTTTGGACACTGAATCTCCTGTGCAACAGTGTTAAATGGTGGGACCTTTAAGAAGTGATGAGGTCATGAGGGCTCTGCCCCCATGAATGGATGACTGGACTCTTACCATGAGAATAACAGGAGAATGGGTTCCTGATAAGAGGATGAGTTGGGGCTCCTTCCTCTCTTGAGCATGTGTGTTCTCTTGCCATTCTACCTTCCACCATGGAGTGATGCAGTAACACATCCTTATCAGATGTGGACCTCAACCTTGACATTCCCTATCGCTAGAACTCTGTTCTCTGGAAGTTACCCTGTCTCAGTATCCTGTTATAGCTGCATGAAATAGACTAAAATAAGTGTATAGCCTAAAAACCTTCCCTTACGCACCCAAGAAAGCATGGACAAGACATTCACTCAGTGCACTAAATTAGAAGCAATGACAATGGTCTAGAAGTCCATGGAGAGGAATGCATAAATCTAATATAACCTATTCATCCAATGCTATGTAGCAGAAGAAAAAAATGAAAGGAACAAAGCTACATGTATCATCTCAAAAGCAATACTGAGCATGGAAATAAAGTTGCAAAAAAATGTAAGTAGTGGATGCCATTAATATAAGATTTAGAAATATGTAAGAAAGCTCTTGGTACTACTTTGGGGGAGAACAATTATAAGATGTACATGAAAGTGATAAATCTAAATTCAGCATGACCTCTAGAGACGGAAGGAGAAAAGTAGTGTCTGGGAAAAGAATAAAAATCTCTCCTAAAAGCACTGTCCACCTCCCGTATGCACTATTATTAATTATTATGGGGCAGGGGAGGGGGCTTCTTTAGTGAAGCGAGGCCTTTTTAGATTGAAGTCTCAGAAAGCATTTAGGCCAGACTTTGACTCTCATAGGAAATTTCTCTTCAATTTCTGAGGTAAAGGGACTGTCCTACTTCTACTACAGAAGTTGTGAAGTCAGGGCCCAATGGACAATTATGCAGCTTGTACACTATATAATTCTGGAGTGCACATTTCACAGCCACTTCCAGGTCAACCAGATTTGTGAAACTCTGCTCACAATCTTCTGCGGTACTTTCAGAGAACGCTGTGAGACTAACCTCTTCCTTAAACACATTTGGTACCTAGATCTTCATAGCCTCTATCCCTTAGCGTGAATCTGTTTCCTTTCCACGTGCCATTCAGCTACTGAAAGCAAGCTAAACTGTCCCCCCACCCAGAGACTTCTGTTTTTGAGGCTAAATACAGCTGTGACTTCACCTATTGCAAACATGTTGTATCTTCTCTTTTTCTCAAAATGAATTTTTAAATGGCCTATCCCTTTTCCTAGCATTTCTTGCCCTAATAAGCAACTAGATATGCTGACATGTTATCAAAAAACAAGAAAGTGTTTCTGGGAAACCCCAAAGGGGTTCATTGCTTGCTTCTAAAGCAGTCAAATGCCTCCCTGGAGCCAGGCAGTGCCAGGCTGAAGGGCCGGGCTTTGTCCAGGGGCAGGACAGAGCCCCCAGCAGTGAGTGCCATCAGAGCTTCTCCACTTACTCCCAGAACTCTATGACAGGGGAGGTGGCATTCTGCAGGGGCACGTGGCTGTAGTTGCTCACATTCAGCTTCTGGAACTCCACACAATTCTCTGCAGTGGAAAGAAGACAAACATACAAGGAAATTAACCTTCATGGGGGCCAAACCTGGGAAAATATGCAGAGCTAATGGAGCAGTCAGGCAGATGAGCCAGCTGCTCAGAGCAAACAGGCTCCAGAGAGCTCTGGGGAGGATCCAAAATTCTCAGAGGCCTCCTACTCCCAAGGCAGGATAGGTTTGGGGACAGGGGTCTCACTTGCACCCATTCCCACCCAGTATCCCCATCACAGTCTTCCTCCAGCCTCATTTCCAAATCACCTTTTCTTTTTTACCTTCTCTGCCCAAGTTCTGCCTATAGCATTTAACCATCCTGCCCAGTGGTCCTAGCAGGACTAGAGGACTAACAGAATGGGTCAGTTGCAGTGACTGTAGGGCAGTAATGCAGTTGAGACTTTTCCTTTATGGGAAAGGGGACTAATACTGCAGCTGCCCCATAAAGATGTGAGGATGAGATGAAGTGTAAATCTACATGTGCAAAGAACCCTTGGCTTCTCCAGCAGTCCTCACTGGATCCAGAAAGCACTTATTGAACACTTCTTAGAAATCTGATCACCAAGACAATATCAGGCAAAAAAATCTTAGTGCTAGAGCAAACCATGAGCTCTCCTCTTCCAGGAAGCCACCCTTGATCTTCCTTCTCTGAATCCTAAGCAAGTTAAAGTTCAAAGACTTTCCAAGGAGTCACCTTCTCTAATTCCATTATTTTGAAGAGAAAGAATCTAAAGCTCAGAAATAGCAAAGGGAGCTGGATGCCGGTGGCTCAGGCCTGTAATTCTAGCTACTTAGGAGGCAGAGATCAGAGGATTTCAATTTAAAGCCAGCCTGGGCAAAAAGTTCATGAGACTCTACCTCAAAAACACCCAACACACACACACACATACACACACACACAAAGAAAACAGGGCTGGTAGAGTGGCTCAAGTGGTAGAGCACCTGCCTAGCAAGTATGAGGCCCTGAGTTCAAACCCTATTTTGAAATACCCAAGGGACCCTTAACCTGAACCCTCTCCCTCATCTATAAACCCAGCAGAAAGTTAGACGGAACTGAGGATAAACCCCAGTCAGGGCTCCATTTTCTCTGTATGGTTAGTGTAGGTTCTGTCAGCTATCAAGGGCCCCATGTTCCACTGTATGCAGATCTGCCTGGGTGCCATACTGCTAGTGCCCTAGGGCAGGGCTTCATTCCTCAGCTGATGGACCCAGGCATCTATCAGCCCCATGACCAGAGCCCTCGTGCTCTGGCATACCCTTCCTCTCATGCATACACAAACTTCAACTCCACCTGCGATCTCGAGAGGCAGGACCCACCTCTTACACTGAGAGTGTCTGTGAGCCACTAGAGAAAGGGGAGCACAAGCCAAGGTCAGTTGGAGAATGGTGCTGGCTAGCTGCTTCCTTTCTATTGCTCTTGGTTGGTGCTGCATTCTGAAAATAGGAGGTCTGGGGGGCCCATGGTTAGTCTCAAGGGAGTCTAGAAGCCTAAAATTGCAAGGCAAATGACTGGTTATATCCTGGAATTGGTTTTGTTTTTTTATTTTTAGTTATTTATTTTTTTCAGGGAGAGAAGCCCCTAGCTGTTATCAAATTCTCTGAGACAGTGTTCTTCAACATCCAAGGTTGACCAGGTATTTCTATTGAAGTGATATTGATCATGTACGTACAATGAACCATACGGCCTTTGTGACTATACTATTCACACAACTGGAAAGTAAAACTACATTTATAAACTAAATACCAACTAAGCCATGTAACTGACACAATCCAAAGTGATAACATGAATGTTTAGAATAATCCAATTTTGTGAAATTAAATTGCTTTTCCAACAGAAGGAAAAAAAAAAAAAAGACCTGTCCAGTAATAGAACTGACACAATCCAAAGTGATAACATGAATGTTTAGAATAATGCAATTTTGTGAAATTAAATTGCTTTTCCAACAGAAGGAAAAAAAAAAAAAAGACCTGTCCAGTAAGAGGTAAGGTCTGCTGAGCTTGGCTGGCTACTTCCATATGCTATTTGAGATTCAATTCTACCACCAGTTTCCTCTGGTCATACTCCTATAAAACCTCCCTTCCTATAATTGGTTACATTCTCAACTGGACTTCACTTAGTACCAGTGCACGATTTCTTTTTTTTAATGTTAGGGATTGAACCAGGACTTTGTGCATGCTAAGCAAGCAGTCTACCACTGAGCACACTCTCAGCCCCCCAACACACCATTTAAGAATCATATCTCTCTGCTGACTTTCCCTTGGCCAGTATCATTCTATTTGCCATGAATCCATCTGAAATTACAAGTGCACACTGAGCCAAGCAGCAGAATCTCCTGACTACTCTCAGTTATAAGGTGGTTGTATCAAAGATCTAGAAGACGCTCACATTTTTAGAGGATCTTCAAAACACATACACACAATTAAGTTATCACAGAGGATTCACAGATCTCCAAGAATGGGTCCTTGAATTTTAGTTTGATAAATCTCTCTGAATTTCCTTGCCAAAGGAAGGCTAATAACGAGACTCTAAAGAGAGACAACCGGATCACCACAGAATGTGATCCGCAGGGGCGCAGGGCAGTCATGCAGGGGTAGAAGCTAGACTGAAGCTCTTCCTAGGTCTTATGCCAGATGTTCCTTCTGCTGTGACCAACACCCTATCCAGTCTCACTGTATCTTAGTCCTCGGGGTAACAGGCCACTTCTAGTGACAACGTAAACACAGATTATAACATGGATGGTGAATAGGTTCAGGTGTGTGTCCCAAATCCAAAAGGCAATATTGCCGAGAAGGGTTCTGAGGCCCAGGCTAGTCTCAAAAGGAAACGGTGCAACCGTCAATTAGCGATATCTGCTGTAAGCGCAGCCATCCCAGAAAGGGGATGGTCGGGTATTCTCTTTCCCTGGATGATAAAACTCAACCCTGACAGGATGACAGACTGAAAAGCAAGTATCAAAATCTAAAGTACCTGAAAATTATCCATTCTGGGTGCTGAATTCAAATATCTAGCTGCCTTAGATAGGTAAATCAAACAAATTAAGTAACCTGGGTGGGGACAGTGGCAATTCAAGGACAGATGTGTCACCTAAAGGCAACAGCTGCTTCTTGCTGTGTCCATTCCTGCCAAGCAGAGATGCTGCCAGATCTTTTAATTTTTTTTTTTCAAGAGAATCTAGAAATCTGGATTTCCAAATGAAGTCTTCTGACTTTTAAGTTTTGGCAGCCAAATACATTTTTCAATTTGTTGTTTACTGTTGTAAAAGTCTGATCAGCCTAAAGACCCTGTCTCTGCAGGGGCCTTTATCTAGCCTAATCCCTTCACTTTGCAGAGGGAAACCTACCACTTGTAGAGGCAGGGCTGGCACTGGAATCCTGGTCTCCTGAATTTTGGTTTAGTACTTCTTCACACTTCTACTCTCTACCCAAGGGCTCACCTCTGAATTTATAGAAGGGAGTAAAGTGCACCACCATTCTCCTCACCATGTCAGTCCCTGGGCTAGCACCCAACTTTAGTTATAACTCACAGAACATGCTCAGACCAATGGCAGAACTGACCTCAGTTCCAGGGAGGCCACTTCTAGGAAACTGGACTCAGGACAAGAGCCCAGAAGTCAAGAACACACCCCAACACCAGGTAGGTCCCTCCGCAGAACCAATAGAGAGACCCTTCCTGGAGGCCATACCTGTGTTCCACTCATGCCCACAGGAGGCCCAGGGGAGCTCAGCAGTGAAGCAGTTGCACAGGTAGAAAATGGCCCAGGCTAAGATGATGATGTAGTATACGTTCAGATGGGCCTCAATTACCTGTGTTGCGTAGCCAATGCCTGAAAGGATAAAGAAAAGGGAGGAATTTGGGTACCTTTCCAAAACAGCCTCCAGTTACTCTTTGCAGCTTGACATTATTGGCAAAAAATTTTATTCTCTCATTAAATCAACACTCACCTTCAAATAAAGGGCAGACTTTCCTCCAACATGTAATACCACCTTCACTTGTGAATTGTCCCAGAGCCGTTTCCAGGAAAAAAACAGGGATTCCACAGCAAATAAAAAATACCACATATGGAATCAGAAATGCCCCTGCAAGGATGTAAAGGAATGATATTAAAATGGCCATTGAGAAATCTTTAATATAGTCAATCTATCACAAGCAAGATACAATGATCTCTGAGCTTGAGTTCAAGTTCAGGTGGAAGGAGTAGAATAGAATCAGAAGATAGAGCCCAGGGTTTAGTGTCTTCTGCCATCTATTACCTTGAACAAGTCTACCTCACATTTCTGAGCCTCAACTTCTTCAGTGGTAAAATGGGGCTTTAAACTTATTCCATCTTCTAGCACAGGCCAAGTTCATCTCTGTCCTAAATGTTCCTTTTCATTAGAAAGTAATCAACAGGCCAGGTAAGGGGGAGCCCTCCCTCTTATTTAGTCTGAAAGTAACCTGCAAAACCAAGAACTTTTTCATAAGGAAAAGCATTCTTAGGGAATTATACAATAAGCAATAAGTCTGGGAAAAGACCACCTTGCTTTAGCGCTTCTATCCTGAAACACAATATCCACTGCCTGGGCCTTTCTGCAAAACAAATTTAATAACTGAGGTGAACATGAGAGGAGGGGATTTTTTCCCCAAATCCCTCATTCTCTTCCTCCTGTCTAATAACAAAGCATGAAAACATGCTAGTCCACCATCTGATCTCACAAATGAAAGCTTCAACTGAAATTGCTTTTTGCTAAATGAAGCCTCTTTAACTGCAAAGATTAATAGCAACAATCTTGATCAATCCTGATATCAGGGCACTATCTACCAGGTTTTGAAAGAGTCTTAGCTTTATCTGGGCAAGAGACTAAATTTTCATACTGGGGAAGAAATACTTTAAACTATTGTTGGGATCTCTGAGTAGACTTGTGTAGATTTTTTTTTAAAAGGGAACAGTAGATAAACAACTATATTAGAAGGCAAAAAGTGATTAAAAGGTACTAAGAGTATCTGCTAACTGACTCTAAATCTAATTAAAAAGTTGAAGCAGTTCCCTAATACATTGCAATTTATCTGTGAACACTCTAGAACCTCACATGACACTATACGAAAGCCTTCTGGACAGTGTGTTCAAAAAGCTAGTATTTGTAAACCTTAAAATAACTAACTCAACCATACAGGGTATCTGTGTGCCAATGGAGACTCTTGGCAAATTGGAGAGGAAAAAACCAAAAACCAAAACAAAACAACAATGACTGACTTTACTCACTACAACCTTTTTTTTTTTTAAATCTGTGGCATAATTTGTAATTAACTCAATTTAGCCTATATTCTGGTTTTTGAAAATGATTTTTGCTTGGGATGACACTGTAGGGTTTCCAAGAGCACATCACAGCTTATAAAGGCTGAGTCTGCAAATAGAGGGTGGACTCACAGCTGAGGGCACAGGGCACATTTCGGATCTCCAAGTCCACTCCCTCCGTCCTCCTCTTGCCAAGCCACTGACACCGGCGGCCACTTCATTCTCAGTGCAGAGCAGGCTTGGAGCAGCCTGTGCCTTTGGGATGAATGTCTCCAAAGAAAGGGCCTGGGCCAAGCAGTGCCCTTCATGCTGCCCCGAAGCTGCTCACACAGGAAGTCCTGCACTGTTCCTGCCAACCAACTTCTCAGCTACCTTTTTAGGGTTTGAAGATTTTCTGGAGGAGTGCAGAGATACAGGCTTTTTCAAGTTGCCACTGAAGAAGCTTTTGCAAGACCTTTTGCCATGGTCCTGCAGGGTGTTCTGCTGCTGTGATATGCTGTGACAGCAGAGGGTCTTCAAATCTGGAGACCCTGCACGTCTTGGCAAACTGGCTCTGAAATGTCACTAGAAATGACTTGTTCATCCCCTGTCTTCCTCCCTTCCCTTTCCCAATCTCTAAGCATCTTATGAACATTCAATCAGTGTTGTCGCAATTGTTGTGGTCAGTAAAAGGAACTGCTTGGTGCCAATTCTTCCTGTAGAGAGGCCTAAAATATTAGCCCCAAAGAGAGCCTAGGAACAAATTTTAGAAAACTAGTCAGGAAAGGAAACAGCTAAACTTCACCTAAAAGTTCTTCCTGCTGTCTGCCCATCCAATCCCAGTTTAAAACAAACTTTGGTGTCAGAATCCCATGCTTATCCCTGGTTAAGTGAGGGGCTTCTCTGACTTAGTTTCTTAGTCTGCAAGATGGGTAAGCTACCACCTACAAAGGTGACTGTCAGGCGGAAAAGAGAGGAGCTAGGGACCTAGGGAAAGCTGAACACCTTGCATGGCACTTCACGACCGGCTCAAAAACCAAACCAGCTCAGATAATTGTCAGGGTTCCTTTCCAGTGAGGAAAGGTGGGGGTCGGAGGGACCAAATATCTTCTGCCAAAAAAAAAAAAAAGAAAGAAAGAAAAAGAAAAACCAGTGACAGTACCAAAACCCGGGGTCTCCTGGTCTCAGCCTGTACCTCCTGCTGGAGACAGAAGCTCCTAACTGGCAAGTCCCTGCGCGCGCGATGGCAGGTGGCACACTCAGGTGCGAAGCAGCCCGTGCGCATGCGTAGTGGAACAGGTGGGCCATGCCCTGCGGTGAGCTCCCGCACTAGGTGGCCGGGGGTAGCAGTTCTCCGCCAGGGTCCCGCTTTACGCAGGCGCGGGCGGGGGGTCTCGCGCGCCCTCTTTCCTCCCCACCCCCACTTGAGCGGGTGGCGTCCCCTCCCATTCTCCTCCCTGTCATGTGTCGCCTCACCTCCTCCGTTCTTGTAGCACAGGTAGGGAAAGCGCCAAACGTTGCCCAAGCCGATAATCTCCCCGGCCACGCTCAGGACGAACTCCACCTTGTTGTTCCAGTGGCCGCGCTCGTGGACCGCCTTGTCGCGCTTGTCACGCACGGACGCCGCGCTCCCGTTGCCGCCGCCGCCGCCGCCACCGAGCGCCTCGGACTCTCGCACCTCTTCGGCTGCCTTCCCATTGCCCAGGGGCAGCGCCTTCTCCGCAGTCATGGCCGCGCTGGCTGCCTCGTGCGCCGGCCCGGCTCTGCGCCGCCGCCCCGGGCGGGCAGGCTTTTCAGGAGGCGCGAGCGGGCGGGAGGGGGAGGCAGGGGGTGGAGCTGAGGGACCGGGCCGGGCCAGCGCCGAGCCTGGGACGCGTCGCAGTGGCCCGGCCCGCAGGGCGCTCCCGCCGTCCCGGCCCCGGGGGTCTGTGTGCGCCGTGTGCGCGCTGGCACCTGCAGCGGCCCCCCTTCCTGCAGCCCTCCCCACCGGCCTCCTGGAGCCAGAGTGGCAGGTGTCCATTCAGGCCTGGATCAGCTCCCGACACCAAACCCCAAGTTCCACCATTCTCTGTGACCTTCGCAAGCTTGGGCCTCAGTTTCCCGTCTCTAATTAGGAGTCGCCTAGGCATCGCTTCACTTTAGCAACCGCGAGCACCTGTGGGGTCGTGTTAAACGGCAGATCCTGGGCTAGAGCTTCTGCGCTGCTCAAACAGGCTTCCAGGTGCTGCTGATACTGCTGGTCCCGGCTTCTTCCCTGCCCTCAGGTAGCCTGCAGGTCTTGTGCTTCCTGGTGCCCCCTGTTCTAACTGATGTTGAGTAAGTATAGTGGGGTGATAAGTGCTCACATCTGGACTCGGCCAATCAGTTCAACCGCATGCCCCACCTATCTGAGCTTTGTGACTTGGGCCAGTCACCTGATCTCTCTCTGTGATCAGAGAGCTCAGCCTCACTTTCCTGATCTGCCAAAGGTAATTCCAATCGTTTCTCACCGTTTTTTGTTGTTGTTGTTGTTGTTTGTTGTATGTGAAAGATTAATAATAAAATGCTTATAAAGTACGTGGGAAGTGCTCAGTGAACATCAGCTGTGATTGTTATCATACAGTATTGTACACGCACATTTGTGCATTTCGCTTCATGTTTGTCTCTCCACTCAGTTGTTAAGGATGACACACCCTAACCTGTCCATTATATAAGTACAGAGCCTAGCAAAAGATGAGGCATGTACGATGTGCTCAGTAAATATTTGTAGCTAGAGGGCTGGGCGCGTAGCTCAGTGGTAGAGCGGTTGCTTTGCACACTGTCCCAAAGGCTTCTGAGTTGAAGGCTTGTCTCCCAGCGCAGGGCACTATCAAGAGGTGTGGGACCTTTAAGAGGAGGGGCCTACTGGGAGGGCAGTCGGCCATTGGGGGCGTGTCCTTGCGGGAGGGGGGATTGTGGGAACGCAGCGCCCCTCCCCCCACTTCTTCCTGGTTTCTGCTTCCTGCCACCTGGCTGTGAGCAGCTTCTTTCCGCCTCTGCGCTGCCGCCATGGCTCGCTGGCTCGCCACGGGCCCAAAGCCACGGGGCCAGCCCCCCGTGAACTGAAACCTCTGAGACTGAGAGCCAAATAAACCTTTCCTCTCGGTAAGTTATTGTCGCAGGTGTTTGTTACAATGACTGATAGAAGGCAGAAGGAAAGAGGAGGGTATTATGGAGACGGAGACTGGCAACCGGCTGGCTCCCTCTCCTTCACAGCCCTGGAGCTCAGCCGCAGGTGCTTGGTTCCTCTGGGTCCGGGGCAGAGGCTTTGACTTGCCGCTGCTCCTGGCTTCTGCTTCCCACTGAACCCTGGCTCACTGCTGTAGGCTCTCCACCTCCCCAAACCCTCCTTCCACCCCTGTTCGCCCCCTTGCTATCAGATTTCTTGAGTTAGTGGGGCGCCAGCACCACTGTCCTCATCTCCCACTCCTTCCCCACCGGCAGCAATCTAGTGCCACCCTTGTCACTCCTCTCAGAAGCCTTTATGAGACCAGTCCTGCCCCCCTTCCACCTCTGTCCCCAGCCTGCTTGACCTCCAGGCCCCGCCTTTGTTCCCTCGACCACCAACACCTTATGCCCTCCTATCTTTGCATTTGCCTGGGGTTCTCCAAGCTGCCTGCCTCAAGGCTCCTTTCTCAGGCCTTGCTCCACCCAACTAAGTGCTTATGGCCCCGCACCTCTGTCCTGTGCTGCCCTGCTTATGTGCCAAAGCAAAGATTCTGCAGGGTGCTCCACGCTCTGTCCCTATGTTATCTCTTTGCCTCGTGCTCCTCATCTATCAAATGGGGCGAGTATTAGTCTGGCCTCCTTGGTGGATTCCAAGGTTAAAAGCCTCAGCAGACACTCCATGAACACTTTGAACTTTTATTGTTATGATAATGGTGATGAGGAGGAAGGTGCTGACAGTGTCATTCCTTTGATAAAAACCTTCATTGGATGAAAGCAAATTGTTCACCATGGCCTTCGAATTCCCCCCCAGTCTGTCCCAGTATTTCCTTCTAAATTTACGCCATTTTTCTCACATGCTAAAACATTAGTATTTTCATTTTCCTAGTGCTGCATACAGAATGGATAACGAAGGAATTCATCTTCAACTAGATAGTCCTTGCACACAGCAGCATTTAGTAGCTAGGGGGTTAGTCTGTTAAATGAACAGCTACGTCAAAAGTTAAGAGACATACTGCTCAATCTTACTATGGCAATATTAGCTTGTCTTTCCACAATCTGTGTAAACCTCCCTCAGAACTAATTACATTTTGCTTTGTATGGGTGCTCAGCACCATTAACTCCAGAAACTGTCTTCCTCTGAGCGTCTGTGATGGTAGGTGACACACTTGAGCAGTTTGTAAAGGAACAGGGAACCACAGTGAGAGGAATAGCCATCTTCAGCTCTGGGACTGAAATTTGGTTCTACTGGTGTGTAGTTCTGTGACCTTAGGTAAAAATCCCAGCCTCTCTGAGCTTTGGTATCCAGGTTTTATTCAAATGAGCTGGGTTATCCTCATGTCTCAGGGTGAAATGAGAACCACATGCAGGGAAGAACATGTACAAATAATGTCTCTAAATAATGTCAAATAAAGCTCTAATGTTTCTGTTTGTGAAGTCAGTCAGGTTAATTTCCTGTTATTTGAATTTAGTAAATATTTAAAGTCCATCTATCTCTGTAGTTATTTAATGGCTCTTAAAAGCCTTAATCTTTTTTTACTTTGGGCCTTTGAAGAAGAGCTCACATTCCCTCCATCGTTTTAGGGCCTCGTCTCGGGACCTTTTCTATTTATCATTTCTTTGTCAGGTGCAGTGGCCTAAAGAGCATACTCCTAATGTCCAGAGGGTGAATATACTTGGGTTGGGACACAAATAGGACACATGACTGACCCTGGCAGCACAGCGTGGTATGTCAGCACATGAGCTCTGCAGTCACACTGTCAGGGTTCAAAGCCCAGTTTCGACACCTTGGCAAGTGACCTCATGTCTCTGAACCTTGGTTTCCTTACCAGTAAAACAGAGGAACTAATAGTGTATTTTCCTTATGGCAAGGACTAAGTGGGTTTGTATTTGTAAAGCTCTTGAATTTGTGCCTCATGGAGAAATATTTGTTAAATAAATATATTGTTTCTAGAGAGCAGAAATTCCTTTCTTGAGCAGGGATTCAAAGTTTTTCATCTTTTAGAAGCAGCATTTGCATCCCAAAAACTCATTTAAACATCAGCCTTGCTCATACATTCATCACCAGATCCTTCTGGCCCCTCATTCATTTTGTAGACATATTGGTCACTAAGGTGCAATACCAGATACAAGGCTTGCCCTAGTAGTATGCTGCAGCTGGCTCATCCTCACTCCTGATAGGTGATTAATACATTTCCAGGGATTTTGGGGAACCACAATTGTTGGTATCTTAAAATCTTCCATGATGGTTGTATTTGCACAGCAGAAATCTACAAACACGGTAGAGCATCTGTCATCATTGGAGTTCAGTGGAAGAGGCAGATGTTAGCCAAGGAATCACACAAATGAATGAAAAGTTGGAGATTTGGGGAGATGCCACAAGGGAGAGGTCTGTCGTGCTGGGAGAGCTTGTAACTAAGTGATCTGACCTTGTCAAGCAGAGAGGAAGGGCTCTCTAAGCAAGTGACAGATGAGTGGAAGCCTGAAGGGAGAAGAGCAGTAGACTAGATGAGGAGGGGCTGGGGATCATGAAGAGGATCGCTGGGGCCAAGGTTAGCATGCACATATAGAACAAGAGGTACCTGAAAGTAAAGCATTTTTAGCAGTAGGTGACAAGAGCATTTGCATCGTAAAAAGAAAAAAAAAATGACTACTGCCACAGTGAGTCTACCCACGGTGAGTCTTACAGGGTAAGGGTGGGAGTGTGGGGGGGTGCTGTGAAGTGGCTACTGAGTGGCCCAGGCAAGAGATGATGGCAGCTTAGACCAGGAACAGAGGAAGATGAAGGTGGGTAATATTGAGAGGGTATAGTCCATAGGACTTGACCTAGCACTGGGTGTGAGGGGCAGGGAAGGGAAAGTGTCAAGTACATCACCTAGGTTAGTAGAACTACATCCCATCAAAGGAGTGTTCTGTTCCACTTTGTGCCAATGTACCCACTGCTGCCTCACTTTGGGAGGGATAAACCAGAATCACTAGGAAAGTGGACTGTTCTCAAATTTTGCACATGGCTGCTGAACCAGAAACCTACATGTCAGAACCAGGATGAAGAAGAAAGCAGAAAAGAGTTAGACATCAAGAAGAACTTCCTACAAGACATAATAATCCGGCCCAAGAGTGGTGAGCTTCTCAGAAGATACGGACATTGAAAGTGGGCTGTCATATATGAGCAGGAACTCATCTGGACTGAGAGTCCAGATGGAATTTCCCAGTCATGGCAGTTGGCATGCGCAATTTTTTTTTTTTGCAATCCCTGGCTTCCTTGCTACCACCATACATGTTTTTTAGGAGATTTGCATTAGCAGTCCTAATTGTTCATCCTTCCCTGTATCCACACCATTGCCAGGCACTTTGCAGATTCCTCAAGCACTAGAGTTCAGCTGTAGGACTTGGTCTAGCCACTAGGATGAGGCAGAGGGATAAAGTGCCAGTTCTAAGCTTTGTTGCCTTCTGCTTCTATTGTCACTGTGGGTGTGATATTCCCAGGTCAGTCTGATGCTCCAGGAGGAAACAAGTTAACATGCGGAGCAGACTTGCCCCAGCTGA